AGTAGTAGTAGTAGTAGTAGTAGTAGTAGTAGTAGTAGTAGTAGTAGGTGAGTCCTCCTCAACACATATTCTGAGCACTAATAGATTGTGCAAAATCTTCTTTTAGATTACAACAAAGTCCATGCTCAATAATCCAGGTATACAATCCAACATTTTTCTTTTCGATTGCACACAATTAGATTTTCAAGCTTTATTCAACCCAGTCCTAGCTCTGTCATTTGTCATCACAAGATGATCGTAGTGTAAATCTGCAGACTGAAAGGTGGCTGGTGAAAAGCATTCCTAAAACGTATGCCTTTAACTTATTTAAAGATTTTGTGTGGATTTTACATGTAGCTGATGCTTACTGTTCACTGTGGCCTGATTGTGATACTCGGCCCAGATGATGATGTAACCCAGCAGGAACCCTCGGACATCTTCTTCTGGGACGGCTGACCACTGCAGCACCACTGAACTCAGTGTCTTGTTGGAGAAGCTGATGTTTGTAGGAGCGCTGACCGGAGCTATTGGAACCAAACCATGAAAACAACCAAATCAGACTTTTTCTGCTTTATGAAACATTTGGTCTTTAAAGTTAGACAGACGTGAACTTACTTCCTTGTCTGAAATAAAACTGTGTGGTCCCATAGGTACCCTCGCTGTTGTTGATAAGTTTTATGTTGCACGTGTCCTTGTACGGCCTTATATTTAGTGTCAATCTGTAACACACGTAAGGCTCCAAAGGTTCTGCGTTTTTAGGTGAAGACAAAAGGCAATACTGTTTAATGTTCAATTTTTTATTTATTTTTCCCTGAAACGTCTCCAAACTCATAACACTAAACATTAAACACAAGTTGAACAGGACTCCATTAAAAAAACAAGACGAGATGTTTGAGTCTTAATGTGGCGTTTGTCTCAAATTTCAACATCCTTCTATAAAGCTTGAATTACTTGTGTATTGTAAAATATATCTACAGGTTTATTTTGAAACTCCAGGCTAAACCCATTTCCTGTTTGCTCTGTACTGCACGGATTATTCTCTTTAGAGTGATTTGTTCAATAAGCTTTGTAGAGATCTAGTAGAGTGCTGTATGAATGTGTGTGTGGAGGTAAATGAGGACACAGATTGTGTTGTAAAGCACTTTGAATGTCTTGATTAAATAAAAAGGTGCTATATAAGTACAGCCCATTTACCATTACGGTACTGTTTTATTTTATTTTTGTGCTTTAATACTAAAATTTGCAGGGACTTTTATTAAGTTCTCCTCATACTCAGAGTTTGCACCAGAACAAAACTATTCTAATCATACAGGGTTTATGGGGCAGCCATGATAAAATTATATATTAATAAAAAGTTTGCCGAGTAATTGCTGAGTAAATGGCAGCACTCTTCATCAGACAGGCAGACAAAAACTTGATCTAGATTTTGAGTATTATATAGCAGTTAGCATACTTTATGTTTCCTTTGAAAAACATCTCTAAATCTTTGACAGTTTAGGCTCTATGACTGATGTTTTGAAATAATTTCTTTGAGATGCTTTAGGCCACGCCCATTTTACCTGAAAAACCTTATCCTTGAGATATGTGCTCAGGGTCATGTCCTAAACATCTGAACCAATTTTTCACTGGAGATTTGTATTTATCTTATACCACCCCTTATTTGCACATTTTTATCAGATTTGGTCCATTAACTCTGAATGAGCTCTCCTAATTGTAATTCAAATTTCATCTTAACAAATATTAAAGTTAGAAGATTTGTCTAAATTTGTGTTAAACTAGTTTTCCAAACAAATTACCAGCATCAACCTATAGGAGGCACTACAAGTGTGGTTAAAACCTGGAGAACTGTAACTCCAGAATTCTAAGCCCCTTATGAGTATGTGGTTGTCTCTTAGTTCTTTAAGCATTCTGTATTTTTCTTCTTCTTTCGGCTGCTCCTTTCTTCAACGGTCGCCACAGCAAACTAACTCTCACGAAGACTTGGCAATTGTTTTTATGGCGGATGCCCTTCCTGACACAACCACAGACCACCGAGCTACCACAGCCCTCTGTATGGAGCAGAGAGCTGCTATCTAGGGCACCTGGGGGAGCAGATGGTGGGGGTTAAGGGCCTTGCTCAAGGGCCCAGAGCGGAGCAGATGAGGATGGACGCAGGTGTGGGTTTTTCCACTTTTCCACCAACATTTTGATGTTGTCAGTACGGGAAGTTGGACCGACGACCTTCCGATCACAGGCCCACCTTCTCTAACCTCTGCACCACCACTCCCCGTATTTTTTTTACTGCAAGTGAATTCATTTAAAAAAAAAAAACCTTCAAGGGTTCACCTTCAATCAGCCTAATCCCTGCCTATATACCATTTAAAATAGTGGCTCTGAAAAAGTTGCTCAGGAAAAGTTTATTTGGTTTTAGCATTATAATAAATGGCCATATCTTATCTATTTTAGCATAAATTCACATTAAACTTACTTACAATGTGTCCAGGTTTCCCTTCTAAATAGCTGACCTGACTTTATCAATAGCAAACTCTAGGGTGTGATATAAATGTAAAAACTTTATTTCAAAATCAAAAATGCTGATTTCTTACAAACTTTTAACACTTATGTTGGACAGTGACTCGAGTTGTTCGTTGCAGTTTGGTAAAGATTTGCAAACGTAGGCGTAGCTAGTAAGTTTGTGTAACTTTTTCTAATCACTATGAAATTTGGCTGGGTTGTTTTTTTCAGGCTGTCCTGATAATAATTTAAAAAACAAGTTTTAAAAATGCATTTTTAGATTAAATTTAATTTTTTATGTTATACATTCAATATAATTAATGTTTTTCTTTAGAAAAAGTTTAACCTCAGGCGTTTGAAAGTTCTATGGTTTATGTATAGAAAGCATTGTGGGGGAGTGGTGGCACAGAGGTTAGAAGACGGGCCTGTGATTGGAAAGTCACAGGTTCAATTCCTGGTACCGTCAACATCAAAATGTGGGTGAAAAAGATGAAACACCCACATCTGCCTCCACCCTCATTCACCTCACTCTGGGCCCCTGAGCAAGGCCCTTAACCCTCACCATCTGCTCCCTAAACAGGTCTCTCTTGAAAATGAGTTCTCGTGACTCAATGAGACTACCAGGATAAATAAAGGCTAAATGAAAAAACAAAAAACAAAAAGAAAAAGAAAGCCAGTCTTTAGTAAAAATTATCATTCAATTAATGAGTCTGGTGATTTTTAGTGCTTTTTTTATTTTAAGCCTATAATAACAATTCAGTTATATTGAACTAAAACTTCTACTTCTGTTATGTTATTTCTTCCCCCACTCTGGCTTGAATCAGTTTGTGTTGGATTAGATAAATCAGTTCATATTTTTAATTAAGCCTTTATTTATACAGGCTAGTCTCATTGAGTCACGCATACTCATTTACAAGAGGGACCTGCTACAGACAGAACATATAAAGTACAGACAACAATAACAATAAACAATAATAATAGTTAACTACAGTAGAAATGCAGTTAAAATAAGAGTAGTGTTATAAAACAAAAAATCAGGGTGCCGTAAAACTTTTTTTTTTTTCTCCACAAGATAGACAAGTACTGCTTAAACAAAGGTCATAAGTTTTTGATTGCTTTTCCCTAAACAAGGGGTTCCCAACCCTGGTCCTTGAGGAACACCATCCTGCATGTTTTAATTGTTTCTCTGCTCCAACACACCGGATTTTAATTAATGGTAATTAACAGGCTTCTGTAGAACATGAAGAAGTAATTAAACCACTGAATCAGGTGGGTTGGAGTGGGGAAACAAGTAAAACATGCAGGGTGGTGTTCCTCAAGGACCAGGGTTGGGAACCACTGCCCTAAACTGTAGCTTGAATATATAAGGCAACAAGTGTGTGTGTGCGTTCGTGTTTGTTTATGTTATATTTGGGGACTTGAACCAGCTTACACACCAGTCATTTGAGGACGCCTTGACAACTGGGGACCAAAACCACTGTCCCCAATTAGAAAAGCTTATATTAGCATTCAGCATGCCCCAAAATGCACTTTAATCTAAAAATCTCAAAAGTTGGTGTGTGTGTGTGTGTGTGTGTGTATGTAAAACTGACCGAGTGTCAGTACCAATACAATCTCTTGAGTCTGACACCAGATTGTGTATAATGTTATTTTCAAAATTAGATTAAAACAGCTACAGCTTTATCGTTTCTCTACAAACGATGACCTCAACTTAAAACTCTGGCATGCTGGAGGTGAGTGAGACGCAGTCCTTTTAAGGCTTTTTGGCTTGTTGCTTGAACATGACCACATTAAAATAAATGTTCTGCCCTCTGTAGTAAAACAGTTGCACAAAACTGACCAAAGTTGATTTGATCATGTTCAGAGGTTTTCTCAGAGGAACTATGTGAACGATGATGTACCTGGTAGATGAGATAAGTTCCTGAAGTTGTTGCTATTCTCATAAAAGGACTTGTAGCGCGCAGAATGCCCCTTTTTCCTCCACTCCACTGAATAACACACAAACTGTTTGATGAGATCATGTTTCCAAGAAACTGTCAGCGACGTGCTGCTGTGGACGTTCACATTCAGACTGTCGTCTCCCTCATCTGTAACAGAGTGAAGACACATTAATAAACTGATCTGTCTAACATGTCATCCATTGTGTGACTTCTGACACACTTTCACATTGCTGTTTGTCAGGTTAGTTTCTGTACGTTTTTCACCATCTAATTACTTCAACATAATTTCAGCCGTTTCAATCATTCAAATGTTCGGCTCATTCAGGAAACGAGTGCTATAACTTTTGATATTTGTATTTTTAGTTTATCATGGGCAGTTTTGGAAGCGTTGAGGGTTCAATTCCACCATGCTGAAGTGTCCCTGGGCAAGACACTGAACCCCTCATTACCTCCAATATGTGTCCCATCAGTGTATGAATGTGATAAAGCTCTGATTAGTCTCATTAGAATGATTTGTTTGATTAGATTTGTAGAGATCTAGTAGAGTGCTGTATGAATGTGTTGCTGGAGGTAAATGAGGGCACAGATTGTAGTGTAAAGCTCTTTGAGTATCTTGATTAGATAGAAATACACTATAGTCCATTTACCATTTATAGTATAATATTAGTATACTTAGTATAATATTGGTTTTTACTTTAGCTTTTTGCTAATTTTAGTTTCTGTTATGACAATGTTATACTTTTCTTACTCTTGTCCAAATGCAAGTAGTTGACATTTTTGCTGGTGTCAGATTTCAGCTACTATTTTGCTATTTTAACTTAGCAACTGTTTTGCTAATTTTAGCTTTTAGGTTTGGTTTTGCACATTGTAGTTTTAATTACAAGTTTGCTATATCTTAAGGTTTTTGTTATTGTTCTGCTGGTTTTAGTTACTATTTTGTTAAGTTTAGTGTTTAGCTTTGTTTAACTAATCACATATTATTGCTAATTGTACCTTTTAGTTATTTTTACCTTCTGTTCTGTTTTTTTTTACTTTGATAGTACAATGCAGCTTTTTCAGCAGTCAGTAATGTCAGACTCAGCTCTCAGGAGCCACACAACAGATTTTTTCTTGTTCGTGTTCATTCCATAGATTGTAACTCAAAGAGAGTGGGCTCCTACTTGTCACATGTTCTTGCTGTGGAATCAGGAGGCTCGCAGGTGGGGAGATGCTGGCGTTGTTGAAAGCGCTGATGTTGAGCAGATAAGCTGAATAAGACAGGAGCAGTCTGATCTGAGGTTTGAGAGTTTTCTTCTGCTGTTGTGGAGCCTCTCCTGATGCCTTGCAAATGGTTACTTTGTAGCCGTCATGCTGCTCCTCTGCAGGAAACTACAGAACAACAGGACTTTGTTGAAATTTTCCGTTGCCTGCTGTGTTGACAACAATTCTGAGTTGACAGAATAAAAAATACCTTCCAGGTTACAGAAATCCAGCGGCGACCTGGATTGTCCACAGTTTCTTCAGAACCAGTGATGACGGGTTGTGTTGTGAGTTCTGAAAGATTTAATTTACAGTGAAACAGTGCACTACTTCAAAAAAGTTCAAGACAAAAAACAACTGGACTTTATTTGTAACAAAAGACGTTTCGCTTCTCATCTGAGGTGCTTTCTCAATTCAGAGAACAGAGAGCGTGGGGTTCGAGTTATAAAGCTGAGCTAAGATACATATGCAGATTTCCCTATCAATCCTCACAATAGGGGTTCGAGGATTAGGATTGATAGGATTGATAGGGCAATCTTTATGTATCTAGTTTAACTCAGCTTTATAAGTCAAACCCCACACTCTGAATTGAGAAAGCTCCTCTGATGAGAAACGAAACATCTTCTGTTACAAATAAAGTCCAGTTGGTTTTTGTTTTAAAAATTTACCATGTCCTGGATGATTGAGAATCTTCACTACAGCAGTCCACTGCTTCATCATTATTTGTGCTAATAAAGTTTTAAAAATCGCTAGATCGCTCCATTTATGTTGTCATATGCTTCATTATGGCCCACTGCCAAAATGCAAAAGGGTGAAAATGTTTTTGTCTGTCTGTGTGTGTTCATTTGACCATTAGTAAAGCGCTCTCATGAACCACTGGACAAATTTTAATGACATTTTCACAAATTTTAATTTTCAATTTTAATAATTGGATGGATTGGACAATTCAAGATGGCCTCACAGCTCATCGATGCTAGCCTACACAAAGATGGTTTTAACTCAGTGATTTTTACAGTCATTGAGCAAACATTTGACGTGGTAGTAGCTGAGAGTCATTCACAACACATCACACTCAGATTATGTGAGATCATTGTATCTCACATCTCAAACTCTCAAGTTCAAGTTCAAGTCAACTTTATTGTCATTTCCATCACATGATACATGAAGTGGAACAAAACTACACCCCAAAATAGCAAAATATAAAGTATAAAAAGAAACAGTAAGGAAGGATCCACTAAGACACTAAGATATACGCTAAACACCAACTCCCTGGTTTGATCAGAATTACTCCTTCATTCCTCAACGTGATCCAAGTTCAAAACTCTGGGCTGAAAGGCATTGAGCAATATGCATTTCTTCAAGGAATGTCTTTAATATTATGTTTTTAACTGAAGCCAGTCTAACAGAAGTGAAGCTCTCACCTGATTGGACAATGTGATCTTCACTCCATGGACACTGTGGACACTTGTCATTAGTGGCACATTGAATCTGTGCGACGTACATTAGTGAGGAGTTTAGATTTTCCACTCTGACTTGGGTTTTATTTTCAGATTGGACAGATGGCTGTGAACAGGACAGAAAAAATCAATTAACTGTTATAGTATATTTTATTAGAATCAAGACAGAAACAACTTCAGAGGTTTAGCTGAAGACTGTCATATAAACCTTCCTGCTGCCCTTGGGTCAGGCTTCAGTCTCATATGTCATTAAGTATATCATTTTACACTGCCATTACCAAAGCACTGATTACTTATGCTGTCAAAATGTTGTCTTGTATTTTATCAGCAGCTGTAAATTAATTCCGTGAGTGTCAGAGTGAGTTGCAACCAATGGTGAGCAGCACATCACACATTGCAGACAAGATTAGCAAAAATTACCAAAAACACACAACGTTCTTCTTCTCAGGTGATGTCACGAACCTTTGAACTGTCTAAAATGTTCTAAACCTTTCCAAACAATCCACACAACTCCTTTTAAGTATGTTTACAATTATATATCTAAATGTTGGCATTTTTGTCTTCTTTCATAGAGTGCATCTCTTCATTAATCAAAGTGTTGGCATTTTTCTTAACTTAGATCATTACAAAGTAATTAGCTAATTTGAAAAAAATCAACCATTTTCTGTTTCAATCCACAATATTTATTATTAACAAACATCATGGAAAGATTTCTAAGAATAATGAGTGCCATTCATTACTTGTCCATTATTCATTATTTCCATTATTTCATTATTAACTTAATTTTCTGCTTTTAAACTCAGAATAGACAGAGGTTGTGATTTTTGGACCTGAGCATCTTAGAAATAAATTTTTCAGTCTTTCACCTTTTTTGGATGGCATTAATTTAGCCTTCAGTTCTAATATGAAAAATCTTGGTGTTATTTTTGATCAAGTCATGTCTTTTGACCCCCATTCAAAACGTTACCAGAACCACTTCCCTTCACCTGCGCAATATCACTAAGATTAGAAACGTCTTGTCCAAAAATTGATGCATAAAAACTGGTCCATGCATTTGTCATGTCTAGACTCGACTATTGCAATAGTTTGTTATCTGGGTGTTCAAAAATTTCCTTATAAAGTCTTCAGTTGATCCAAAATGCTGCTGCCAGAGTTTTAATGAGCATGCGATAGGCAAAGCTTTTTCCCTAGTTATCCATGTCCCAGGAGAAATTTGATAGTTGGCTCGTTTCCGAGACCAACCTGGGAGTCAGATTCAAAAAAGACACAATTGTTGATTTTCTACAAACTTTTTTTCTTGTCAGCCTTGAGTCCTGCTGGAACTTCCTCAGTCCAAAATGTCCAGATTTATGGGCATTCCTCTCCACTGATCCATGTTATGAGCCTCCCTAAGATCGATCCCATATGCTGTCAAGTCCTAAAGCTGCAGGTGACGGTTTAGCTCATTAATCAGCCAATTTTGAGTCCTCATAGCACGAACCAAACAGACTCAGAAGCTTGACATGGCCAAAACTGCTATCGACGTCTTCTTCAAGTTGATAAAACAGAGCCCCGCCGATGTAAAATAGCAGAACCCCTGCTATCGTAAAGCCAAAATATAAATGTTTTCAGCGTCCACCCAAGACAGAACTGAAAGACACATCAGCTGATCTTTGATGTACCCCGCAGTGTGAGTCTCAGCCAGGCAAGAGGGTTCTCCAGGATCCTGTCATTTTGTTGAAAATATGTTGTCGATTTCATAGAAAATCCAGCTCGTCAGATCCATAATAGTGTTTTTCATTCGGGAGATGTAGGAGCTCAAAGACACAGAGAGCAGAAGCAGGGGGAAGGGAGAGGACACATCTGCCTTGAGCAAGAACCAGATGTGAATCTCCCCAGTTTTAGCTTCTCTCCATGGCTCCCTGTCAAATCCAGAATTGAATTCAAAGTCTTACTTCTAACCTACAAAGCTCTCAACAACCTAGCTCCATCTTACATTACAGATCTTATTGTTCCATACTTTACTTACCCTACTCTACATGTTTCGTATTTGTAACTATTTTATCCTTAAAATGTGTTCTTTGTCTTTCCTCCTATAGAAAGAACACCTGGATCTGCCTTTCTGTCTGTCTCTCCTTCCTGTCCTCTCACCCCAGCTGGTCGAAGCAGATGGTCACTCATCTTGAGCCTGGTTCTGCTGGAGGTTTCTTCCTGTTAAAAGATAGTTCTCCTTTCCACTGTTTCCTTTGTGCTTGCTCACACTTGAAGACTGCAACAAAGTGAAGATTCAACACAATCTGATGGCTTCCTTAGATAAATAACTTTTACTAATAGGCTTTTTTATGTATGTGAATGTTTTTGTACAGTGTCCTGAGATGATTTCTGTTGTGACTTGGTTCTATTTAAATAAACTGAATTGAATTAAACAGAATTTGAATTTGGGTATGTGTGACCATCATTTACAGTTTTTATTAATAAATCAAGCAAAAAGTTTCTGACCTTGTTCCATGAAGAACTGCCCACTTCTTTAAATCTTGCAAAAAAGTAATTGATAAACTTTTCTTCAGCTTGACTCCATCTCACATTCATGTTCAGACGTCCTGCAAGGCGACTGAAGGACACGAAGCTGGGAGGGTCACAGCGTGCTGAAATCATTTGAGTAAAAGATAAGATGTTCAGATCTGTCAGAGATGGTTAATTCAAATAAAATGCTTTCATCTGAACTTACTCAGGTGCTTTGGTGAACCTTTGAAAACTGCTTTGGTGCAATTTTGTTTGTGCGCATTTTCTAAAACCTCCACTGTCATGTTGTGTAACTCGAACACTTTGTTGATAATTTCATTGAATTTAGTGATATTATTGAAAATGTAGCAGGAGTTTCTGCTTCAGGGGGAAGAACCAAACAAAATAAAAGATGTTTATAAAAAATACCAAGAATCATAAAAATTGAAATTTTTTAAGGAGTAAAACCTTGTAATCTGGCGTGTGATGAGCGTGTATGTGTTTTTGGATGTGTATTTTCCAGGTTTCCAAGTACAGTATTTCCCACGTTGTTTGGGTTTACCAAAACAGACTAAATCATGGACTCCATCTGTAAAAGCAGAAAAAAAATGCAATTCCTGTCTCTGATGGGATTTTCCAGTTTCACAGAAGGACTCAGATGAGGTTCTTTTACCTGGCTGAATCCCACAGTGTGAATACTCAGCAGACATGTTCTTTGACCTGCAGCTCACTGGAACAAACACAATCAGTTACTGTATATGTCACTGTTGCAAAAACACACACCAATGCACAGCAGGGCTGCTACTGCTCTTTATATCATGATGGAAAATACTTTTAGACATTTATTTTTGGAAATGAGCTCATTCCTCAAGAGGAAACATTAGACAGGTATCAGATTAGGAATAAACTGCAGAAAGTGACACAATCCTACCTTCAGAGGCTCGAATGTGTGGGGAGAGCATGGTGTAAAAGACAAGAAGCATCAAGCCTTGAATGTGAGCAAGAGATGAGTGACAATCTGATATATTTCACCAAGAAATATGCATAAAACTAATAAACACTTCTAATCCTGAAACAGAAGGCTGATCATACAGATGTCTTACCAAAGATCAGAGTCTGTGAAATGCATCCAAACAAACTCTTTGAGTGCAGAGACATCAGCTGACCTCCATGGCCTGACATGCTGCCAACAACTGTGACAGACTCAACCAACCTCACGCTCACAAGCTGCCATTCATGATGCACACGGCTGCTGCTCTCATGAGACTGAGAGGAAATCTTTTGTGGAGTTTTACAACGAGCGTGGGGAGGCGGGGACGCACTCAGCAAGGAGGACTCACTCGAAATAACTAGTGTGCTACTACTTCTTCTTTTCTTAAAACTGAGACAGTACGCACATGAGAAACACTCTGATCTGCACCTTGCATGACTGGGAGGTTTCTGTTCACAACTGAATAAATGGGTCAGTGTTCTGAGTAAGAACTACTTCTGAAGTTACTGAAAGGTCCACCATGATTCAAAACGAGACAAGAAATTAGTTTTTATTTAGTGATTTGAGCATCTCTTCACCCCTGCCCCACTTTTGCTTTCAAAGAATGGAGAGCAAAGTTCAAATGAAAATCTCAAATTCTGTGACTGTAACTAAACATGATGCTCTGTGTAACTCAGGAGAACTTTTTTAATGGCACAGGTTGAAACAAAGTTTCTTTAATGTCAGTTCATGTTTTCTCATGAGAACAGAATTCGCCCTCAGACCCAATAATGTCTAATAACAATAAAAACAATTATCTGTTGTCTTTCATAAATTATGATTGTCTAAAATAAAAAATGACAGTTAAGTTTTATTTCAACCTTGAGAACATTGTTACAAGAGATCGTGTTGTGCTGAATCCTCAGCTGCTACATCCAGTGTTAGCTCAATATTTGGGAAACTGGACCTGTGTGTCAAAACTGAAACTCGCCTGTTCTGCTTGGTTTTAGTTTATGTATTTTAAATTTTTAGCAAGACTTGTTTTTTATTGATTTCATGTTCTAGTTTGATTAAAAATTAAATTATTTTTTTTACTAACTTTACTCAGCTTAATAATAAACTATTTAACCCTCAGCACATGTGTGTAAGTAAAAACAAACCAAAATGTTTAAATTATGTTTAAGGTGTTTAAATAGTAAACTGCATGTAATAAAATTAAAAGTTAATTTAAATTGTGTGGCCAATAAATGTTTAATAACCTTCATAGTCAAGTCAGATTTATTTATAGAGCACATTTAAAACAGAAACTGTTACCAAAGTGCTTAACAAAAAGATCACAGCATCAAATAAAAACTAAACATATATTTACAGCACATGGAATAAAAATATAAAAACATAAAGCATAATTAGAAACAATGAAATACTAAATCCGATCACCCTGTGTCAAATGTCACAGAATAATAACAAAAAAGCCTAAACTCAGTCAGAAAGAATGAAATGCTAAATCGTATCAGATAGCCGCGTGTTAAATAGGATTAAAACAAAAAGCATAAACAGAATCAGAATCAAAGAAAAACTAAATCTAAATCCTATCACCCTGTGTTAAATGTCAGTGAGTACAGGTGTATTTTCAGGAGAGATTTAAAAACAGAGAATGAGGTGGCCTGTCAAATGTTGAGGGGCAGATTGTTCCAGAGTTGAGAGCCCATGACTGAAAAGGCCCAATCTCCTCTGAGCTTCAACCTGGTTTTTGGTACCACCAAAAGCAGCTGGTCAGATGATCTCAACGCCCGAGAAGGAGCATAAGGATGGAGAAGGTCGGAGAGGTACGCAGATGCAAGGCCATTAATGCACTTAAATGTCAGCAGAATAATTTTAAAATCAATTCTGACATGCACAGGAAGCCAGTGAAGAGAGGACAGAACTGGTGAAATGTGCTCAAACCTGTGAGTTCCTTTTAACAGCTGACCTGCAGCATTTTGGACGAGATGGAGACCTGAGAGAGAGACCTGACTGACCCCAGCATAAAGTGAGTTACAGTAGTCCAGCCATCAATCCTGATGCCCTGTGAGCTTCAGAAATGGCCTCACACAGCCAGTGTGAAAGACGCTGAATGGATAACGGGCGACCTGCAGAGACGTCCCTATAATGCACAAATAGATGCTGAGTCTGCCGCAGAGGAGCCGTGCGTGCTATGTAACATGCCAGCGCACACACAGGACAGAGGATATGAAAAGATGCTTCTTCCTCTGATTTGTGTGTGGGGGTGGGGGGGGGTGGGGGGGGGGGACCCACCAATGTTATCATTCTTGATTTAAATGAACTTGTGATGTTTTCGGGTATGAAAGCTGGGTTAGGTCTCAGCGCAGCTGAGTACCATCAGCTTGAATCCTGAGGCATGACGGGGCAGCAGAGAGCGCAGCTAAATAGTTCACTCTCTTTGCTGATGTCAAAGCCAACAGCAGGGCTGTTTTAAGTGACAGGAATTTAAGTGACACCTGATCCAAAGGCTCAAAAGGAGCTTTGATCAGAGCTTGCAGAACTACCGTTAGGTCCTACTGTGGAGCTAGTGGGCGTGACACCGGTCTGTGTCTCCGTACACCTTTTAGGAAACGCTTCATCAGCAGGTGATTAAAAACTGTTCTGTCAACGAAGCTTTCGTGAAAGGAAGAAATAGCTGCAGCATAAGTTTTAATTGTGCTGAAAGTTAAATTTATTTTGATGATTTTGATGTTTCTGATGTCCATCAGCTGCTGCAGAAAGGACAGCACGCCACCTAGTGGACATGAGATGGCCCCTACACTTTTTTCTGTGCACCAGCGCTGAAAAGCTGTCCACTTTGATGTGTACAATGCTGTGGTGGAAGCGGCTCATGAGTCTTGGATTGTGCACACCACTTCCTGAGAGAGGCCCATCTTCTCTAAGCGGATCCACTCAGCGGCCAGACCCAAAGGTGCTGGCCTATTTCTGGGTGACTCCTGATTGCTCCCACCGCCTGGAGGAGAGCATCGTCCCTCCACGACATTTTCCACAGTTGACCCGATACCAGACATTGCAGGTTTGGGAACCACGGGGCGCTCACGCACTCGGGGGCTACAAGAATGGCTGACAGTTCTTCCTCCCGGACTCGATTCAGAAACCGTGATATTAGAGGGACTGGAGGAAACGCGTAAAGGAGCATTTTTGGCCATGGGCTGTGGGCAAAAGCAACCACTCCTAACGGTGGGTCGTCCCATGGGCTCAGTGAGAACCATAATTGACACTGGGCGTTCTCCCGTGTGGCGAACAGATCCACTGCTGCTCGGCCGAACCTGCTCCAAATCTGAGAAATCAGCTCGGGATGGAGACTCCAGTCTCTGTGGCGAGGACCGTCCCTGGACATTATGTCCGCTCCTCTGTTCAGGACACCGGGGATGTACACTGCTCTGATGGAGAGCAGGTTTTTGTGTGCCCAACACAGCAGCTGTCTCGCAATGCATAACAGTTGAGCTGAGCGCATGCCACCCTGCCGGTTTATGTAAGCTGCAATCACTTTGTTGTCTGTATGGATCAGAACATGTTGATTCCGCAACAGGGAAGCAAAATGCTGAATCACATTCCAAACTGCAAGACATTCCAAAATGTTTATATGAGCTGATGTGTGAGGTGGCCACAGCACCCCCACCGCCTGACACAGGCACGTTCCTCCCCAGCCTGACAGGGACACGTCTGTGAAAACTGAGACGTGTAACGTAGGCCTGCTGATAGGAACTCCCTCTGACAGAGTGAGAGGGTTTCCCCAGTGATTTAGGTCAGTTCTCACGGAGGGGGGCACAGAGATCATCCGCCTCTTCTGATGCACCGGATCTATGGGCAGGCGGGCAAACCATCGTTGAAGGCGTCTCATGTGGAGTAAGCCCAGCAGAACCACAGCGTGAGCTGAGGACATCGTACCCAAAAGTTTCATGATCAAGACGGTCGTTACTACTCTGCTGGGTATTACGCGGCAGAGCTGGTCTTTCAGAGCTTCAGCTCTCGGCTGTGATAAGCAGGCTCTCATACTGACTGAGTTTAGCTCCACTCCCAGATAAACGATCATCTGGGCCGGGAGAACCGAACTCTTCTCCCAGTTTATGGCGAAACCCAGGTTTAGCAGGTGTGACGTCAGCGCTTTGGTTTGCGCAGCTGCTTCCTGCCTGGATCGAGTTAACAGCAGCAGATCGTCCAGGTAGAAAAGAATTCTCATTCCTGCTCTGTGTAGCGGCTGCAGAGCCGTCTCCACACATTTCGAAAACGTGCGTGGGGCGAGAGAATAGCCAAATGGGAGCCTGTTGTACTGGTACTGGGTCCCTTGGAAGGAAAAACGCAGGAACTTTCTGTGTTTTGGAATGATTGGTATGTGAAAATAAGCGTCTTTTAGAGGTAAACCAATCGTTCCGGTGAATGTTGTCCAACAGCTGCCTGTTTGTCAACATGTGGAACTGTCTCTCCATGATCGATTTGTTGAACATGGACAGGTCGAGGATGGGTCTCATTCCTCCAGTCTTATTTGGGACCAGGAAGTAACGTGAGTAAAACCCTGTGTTTTCCTCTCCGCTGGGAACCCTGGAAATTACATTTTTTATCAGTAATTCCTGAACTTCTGAGTGGAGAGACAAGATCTGTTCTGGAGATGACAAAACCGTCTCTATAATCCCTCTGAATGGTGGGGGTTGAGCTGCGAAATGCAGCGTGTAACCTCTGCTGATAAGATGGTTCATTCATCTGTCTAGGTGGCACACTCGCTGCAACTCTGTGTAACGCTCTGGGAACGGGCACGTGTTTTTGTGTTGTGTCATGTCCTTTACGGATATTAGCCAAGATAGGGCCCCCACCGCCGTCATATGCTCTGGAGATACTCCTCGAGTGACCCGGGGGGGGGGGGGGGGGGTTGGGGCTCCCAGAAAGGGCCCTGGGAACGTCTCTGTGCTGCACTCAGGCTGCAGGCTCACATCAGAGTTGATGTGAGCTGACGCGCACTGAGGGGAGGCGTGAGCACCTTTAGAAATGTGATGCCGTTTGGGTGGAGATTGCCGTTGCCGTGGGGAAATACTGCGGTCAGAAATGTCAGAAGAAAACCTGGGCTGAAAGCGAGGGTCTTTTTTGGGCTCGGTCTGCTGGAAAAAAAAAAATCAATTCTAGCTGCTGTGTCAAGCGAGCATTTTGTGTGATTTTTCGAACTGCGGTGGCTTTT